CCCCCCCGGGTGCGGGAAGTGGAGGTTGGCACCTCCATCCTGCAGATTTGGGGTGCTGTAGCCGATCTAGACATAAAACCCTTTCCACGGCTGGATGTAAAAAAAAGGTGTTTAAGACAGCGCGGAGGCAGAGGGGAGATATTCCCATTGTGAATGTCTTTTAATATTACTGTGGGCTGGCACGAAGCGACGTGGTTGCTTAGCAAATGAATCCATCCAGCACCGATCCCAGCCCCGGGGAGGCACGTGCTTCGCCCGGGCTGCGGGAATGATGGCTGCTGGCGCGTGAGGACGGGCGAGGGGGACACTTAATGAATAAGGAAAGGTGTTGGATGGGGTTTTCCAACCTGGGATGGCCGAGCCGGGGGGGACCCGGGAGAGATGTGTAATTGGAGCGATGATCTAGGCAGTCATCTGTCTCCAGCTGAGCACGATGAGGCTGTAATTCTCATGAAGGGCAGAGGATTTGCTCTTCTTTCATAAGTATTCCTAGAATCCACGGCGAGAACCGATCTGGCCTATTTTACAGCGGGCAGAAGACATATGGTGTTATTTAGTGGGATTAAGAGGTCTGAGAGATCCGAATTTCCCGCGGGGGGGGATGCTGAGATAGCCGGCGTGGGGCAGGACGGCCGGTGGTTCAGTGGCTGACGGGGCTCTTCTCCTCCGTGGATGCTGCGTGTGGCAGTTCACACCTCGCACGCTGCGGGAAAACGTGCCAGCAGACGCAACAGGTACCGTTTCCTATCCACTAACGGGAAACTGCGGCACGGGGATGTGCAGGGATGTGTCCCAGGGTGCGGGGCAGTTTCTTCAGGCTGTTTTCTTGCAGTGCAAAGAAATAAGTAAGTCTATACCTGACTCGTTACCCCGCAATTCCATGCGAGGGTTTGGGTTTTTGCTCTTGGGAGATGCCCGGCACATTGCTCCGTGCTCTGGGGTGGATTAATAAGAGCATCCGCAGTACCAGGCTTTCGGCTGGGGTGGGACGAGGGGCCAGAGTGGCTCCACACGTCGATGCCTGGTGGTTGGTGAGGTTGTGAAGACGTGGTGGGGTTGTGCATGGCGCATTTCACCATCCCCGCTTCCCCCATCCCAGCCTTCCCCATCCCAGCCTCTCCCATCCTGGCCTCCATCCCTGCAGGCAGCTGAGTTCAGCGCCGTCGCAAGTCATGGTGAAGAAATGTCATGGAGAAACTCGGGATGCAGCCGCTCGGTGCAGCGGGTTTCGATGTTATACACAAACTTATCGCACTGGAAACTGATTTTTCTGGGACGCGGTGATCCATGGCGCTTCACCAAATCTCCGGGCATGTGAATGCCACGCGCGCATTTGGGGACTGGTGGAGGAAAAATGTTGTCTGTAGCCACACGAAGAAGGGAACCCCCGGGAGTGCCGGCGCGTGCTCTTAATCACGCAGCCGCTTGTACTTTGAGACTGCGCCCGCTCCCTTATCGGCCTGACCCTGCCCTCACGCTGCTTCCACCGCCCTGCGCCCGCTCTGCCCCAAACCGCCGCCTTTCTGCCTGGTATTCACCCGCCGGCGGTGCCCAGCACCGGGATGGCATCTGACGGACGATGCTGTGCCATCCTGGGAAGTTTTAGGGGTCGCATCCTTCAGGAGAGGAGTGGGATGCTGCAGCCCCTCCGCGCATTTCCCGGTGATGGTCCTGCCTACGGCCGGATGGGTTAGCGTGACCCTCGGTACGGCACGGTGCTGAGTCCTCGCCACCCAACACCGCTCGCCCGCACCGTGGCAGAGCCATTTGCCGTGTAGACACCAGTGTTGTGCTGCGCAGCCGGATCCTGCCCTTCTCGCCGGTCCGAGGAGGCAACCTGCGGGAAACGGCCAGATTTTGGTCTGTCTCCCACCTGCGGCCATTCCGGCCGTGCCGTGCCAAGGCTGGGTGCTGGCGCGGGTGGTAGGAGATGCCGGTTCCTCCTCGCAGGCAGCCTTGGGACGGGTGACACATTATTTTGCTCCAGGCTTTAGGGTCACACCGGCTGTCACACACTTTCCGCATCCTTTGAAATAAGTGCCGGACGGCAACGGCGGTGTCGAGGCAGCCTCAGAGATGCTGAAGGCAGTTTTCCACTCCATTTTTGGTACCAAATGTGCAATTGGGTGATGGAGGCAGAGAGGGCAGCAGCCTTAGCGCCTGCCTTCAGGGCTCGGCAGCTCGGCTGTACCCCGAGGCTTGTTTCTAGCCCGAGGTTTCCGTGCGGTGAAGGATGGGAACCAGCTGTAGGTGATGCATCAGGCGAAGGGGGGTTAAAGTGGCGCAAGATGGTTGCGGAGCCGAGGGTGGAGCGCGCGGAAACAGGAAACAGTCGGCCTCCCTCTGTGTCACCATTACTGGAACTTGCTTCGCTAAAGGTCTGTTTTCACTTCCAAAATAAAACTGAGCAAGCAGGAGCGAGCCCCTCGTCCCCTGGGATGCCCCCTCCCTGTAAGACACAGAAGGACGTGCCCCCCCGGTCCCCGCCGGCAGGACCGAATGGGGAAGAAACACCAAAGCTGGCTGCTCTCTGCAGCCCTCCTGGCTAATAAACCTCTGCTTGTGCCGCTTCGGTGGCGGAGCGGCTTTGCTTGCAGTGCCTCAGTTTCCCATCCGGCACGCAGAGCCGGCAGCGGCGAGAGGCTGTGGTTTGCCCTTGCCGGGCTGCGAGCGCCGCAATGGGCGTTCAAACCTGTGTTTTAAGCAAGAAAAGCAACCGGAGGGGCCGGGCAGAGTGGTGGTGGGGGGGAGGGCTGAATAGGGGGGGGGGGGGGGTGGCGCCCCCCCGCCTG